TTGACAAAAAAATTTTTTTTTTTTAACTTTTTTTTTTTTTATTAATACCCCATATTTTTTCACTAAACATCTAAAACAAAAAAAAAAAAAAAAAAAAAAAAAAAAAAAAAAAAAAAAGGAACAAAAAGAAGAAACACCGTCCTAGTGAAGATATGTCAGAGTCAAACTTATCTAAAAGTGATTTGGAAGAACTTTGCCGTGCCTTTGGTGTATCTACGAACGGTGTAAAGGCTGACCTGGTGCAAAGCTTAAAACAATTTTCGACGGAAGCAAGCAAAAATTTGGACAATGTTGAAGGAACGGGCGAAACAGGCGTGGGAACATTTGACATCGATGAGTCAGAAAATCACATGTATGGAGATGATCTTGATATCGACCCAGAAGCAAGATTGTTAAAGAAATTAGCATATAGATCAAAAGGGAAATCGAAACATTTAACCTCAAATAATGATTTGGAAGATCCAAATACCTCTCAAGCACATGTAGAAGAGTGTTTAAATCAGAACAAACGTCAATATTCTAAAATGAACTTGGACAATCCATTGGGAAATTTGGTTTTATCCGAATTTAAAAAATTAGAAAATGTAATGACAAATTTTAATAATAGACTAAATTCTGTGACGATGCAGGTACAAGATACACGTTATAGGGCTGAAATAAATGAAGCTTGGTCAACATGTAAGTTTGAAAAGCCTCGGGACCAACATGAATACGATTCTTTATGCACAATTGGAACCGAACTCGACTTGGCTATGGAATCAAGAAATTTTTCGGATATTATAAGCCATATTGAAAAGGCCTGGGAGTCTGTAGCAAATCGTATGTTTACCCTATGAGTAGCCGAAGGTTACAGTTGGAAAGTTGCAGCTGCATTACCCACTACACAAGACAATTGGCTTAAAGGAAAAGATACTTTAATTTAAAAAGCTAAGACCTTGGCTGAAGTGAAAAGAAGTAAATGACAAAAGACAACCAATTGGGCAGAAAATCGTGACTTCACGTTTCGGAAACCAAATAGTCAAGACAAACCTCAACATTTTTACCAAAATTCTTATCAGAATTCTTACCAGACTCCTTACCCAAATCATCGTGGTGTGGGTAGGTTTTTTCGGACCAGTTCCCAATCTCAAAATTCCTCGAACAAATGCTACATCTGTGAGGGCTTTGGACACTTCGCAAACGCCTGCCTCTCCGATCCATACCACAACACCCAACACCAGCAAGAACACACCTTTAATTATAGATCAAAAAGTTACAATACCTACAGAAACAGATTCAGAAAACCTCATGATGAGGCCAAACGCGATTGACTGCACTCGGGCCAACAATCAATAATAGTAGTAGGGTGTTTACACATAAAGGGAGCATGTGAGTTATTGGGAGAAAAAGTTACGAGCATCCGACCTAATTCTGAATTGGAGTACCTTTGTACCCAAAGAGACTTTTAGTTTTAACAAATCAGTCAGATCCACCAGAGTATTCTTTGACGAAAAAACAAGAAAAGTGGCTAGATTTATAAATAGGAAAGCTTTTGGAGTCGAAGGCGATCATACATGTTGCAGATTCAAAAACTCGACCATCTTATCTGCTCAAAGTGAGCTCAATTTTCTTAGTTCCAAAACCGGGACCCAAGCAGTGGCATTTGGTAGTCAACCTCAGACGTCTAAAGAGAACTTTACTGGAAAAACCATTCAAATTCAAGGGGCTCGACACCTTCCTGCGCATGGTAGGCCGCAACTGGTGGATAATAGTACTTGATTTGAAGGAGTGATACCACTATGTACTAATGGAAAACAAAGTACAACGGCTGTTGGGTTTTCAAATAAGGCAGAGCTGGTACCATTTTTGGGTATTACCTTTCGGCCTGAGCCAGTCTGTCTGGGTTTTTTTGAAGCTAGTGCGCGTGATGATTGGACACTGGAGAGCATCCGGAATAATTTGCGGAAATCATGTAGACGATATATGGATAGCTCATCCTTACAGAATGACGTTAATAGAAATCAGGGATCAAATAATATTCAAGGAACTGAGAGAAAGTGGGTTTGTTCTAGCTGAAAAAGGGCATCCGGAGCCAACTTAACAAGCAAAATTTTATGGTATGACCTTAAATACAGTAATGGGCAAAGTGTTAGCACCCGACAAAAAAATAAGGGATATCTTGTATTCACTTCGGCACCTCCTAATCACACCTCGCCTAACAGCTCGATTTCTAGCTTTCGTGGCTGGGAAACTAATGAGTTTAAGTCGTGCCTTCGTTCATGCAAAAACTTATTGTCTAGAGTTTTACTCAATTATCAACGCAAGACAACAGAGAACCTTGGGAATGGGAAGCGCAAATACAGTTGATGCCGCAAGCAGTCCACGATATAAACTGGGTTTTGGCAAATTTAGAAAAGAGAAATGGGAGCCCGGCTTGGTGGCCGTCAAGAATAATACCAATATATGTCGATGCATCGACAACGGGTTGGTCTGCAGTTGTGGAAAGCAAAAGGGCCTTTGGAAATTGGGAGTCAAGACACCAACATACCGATATTGCTTTGCTCAAATCAATGGCGGAGTTGTTGGGCATAGAAGCATTCGCAAAAGTACTTACAAACCACTGGATTACAATATTCATAAACAATCGGGTAGCCCAAAAATCGATAGAATCCAGAGAGAAAAGGCCATGGCAAAAAGAGATAATGCGAGAAGTGTGGAGCCTTTGCGACAAATACAATTTACATATTCACGAGTACCGGTGGATCCCTTCGAAGCTGAACCCACCCAGCAGACGAACTAACACGTGTATTCGACGAATCCGATTGGTCACTAAATCAAAAACTATATCAAAAAATTGAGGAAAAATGTGGACTATTTACAGTAGACCGAATGGCCAGTTTTCGTACATGGAAAGTAGCCCGTTTCAACAGCCGCTTTTTTTGCCTGGAATTAGACATGGTAGACTGCTTTACCCAGGTTTGGCACAATGACAGCAATTACATTTGCCCACCACTAAGTTTAGTTCACAGGGTAATCGAACAGGCAATAGAGGAACAGGTCCCTATGACAATAATTGTTCCGGTATGAGTGTCCGCCCCGTGGTGGCCGCTTTTGCTCAAGATACAGAAGGAAATAATGGTTCTTCTCCCGGCTACAGAATGCTTTCTGCCGGTACCAGATGAGAACCAAATACCAGAGCCATGGAAAAACCCGTGTTGGAAATTTCAGGCAATAAAAGTCTATTTTTAAATATGTTAGCAGAGGAGACCCAGAAAATGATAAAATGAATCGAAGTATAATAGACGACTTGAGGGATTATAGAGGAAGTTTAAGGACTTTGTAGTACTTACGATTTAGAGGCACATCCAACCCACCCAAACACAGTAGCAATGTTTCTAACTTGGATAAAAATGTCATCCCAGTCACAAAATTTGTGCACTTATATAGCAGCAATTAGTCGCTATCATCGTAGTAACAGATTGGTAGACCCCACAAATGATTACAACGTCCAGCGTATTGTGAAGAACATAAGGAAACTTACTGCGATTGATTTGGAGGCAGTATGGCCTCGTGACCCTTTCCTTGTAGAAGCTCTGCGAAATTACGTGGACAATCCTCCTCTGAACACATCCCCTATTATTTGGAAACATGATTGTGCTATGATTGCATTGGGTTTACGCACAATGCGTAGGCCAGCAGAGCTTTGTAATCTTTGTGTAAACGATGTAAAGATGGAAAAAGGAATCTGTTGGGTTAGAATAAACAGATCCAAAACCGACCAATTTGCCAAAGAGAAGTTTATCCCAGTGGATCCAACCAATTTCCCATATTGTCCGGTACGCCTGGTCCACGAATATTTGAGCGCTAGAAAGAAGTGGGAAGATCGAGACTACTTATTTCTAAACGCATCAGGGAAACGAATGACTACAAGAACGGTTAATGCGGCGGTGAAAAGAATAATCCAACACGCGGGCTATGATGGTAAATATTCAAGGCACAGTATTTGAATTGGCGGTACTACAAGTGCAATGAAAACAGGGTTATCATTGCCCCAAATAATGAGCATCGGGGCTGGTTATCACAATCGGTAGCCCTGTACCTTAGGTCTTTTTTAACAGTAATCTAGAAAACGATGGCAAAAATGGGTTTTTTAAAAAAAAAAATAAAAATAAAAATTCAATCAAACCGGCTAGAAAACCAATCCTCTGTCATTTTCCGTATTGTCTTTTCATCATAATAAATGATCTAAGCGAGAATAATGACCTGATGCACGACAATAGTCGTGCTAAGGTTATTATCGTGAGGATCGTCACCCCTTGCCCTATTGGAATCAATAACAACATTTTGACGTATATGAAACATAGGATATAAATTGAGGTAGGAAAAAGAATTGTAGATCTTTAGTGCTTTTTTCTTCGCTGCCTGACATTAGTCTGGCTTTGGCCCACCCTCCGCGCCCAAAAAAAAAAAAAAAAGAGAGAGGGGAAATAAATTTAGCAAAAAAAAAAAAAATGAATGGATGATTAATGAATGAATGAATGAATGAGAAAATAGGAAAATGGAAACTGACATTTTTGAGGACAGGTTGTATGACATGCTCACTAACTATGTAAGATAGCTCACTGACAAAAAAAACAACACAGGAAGAAGAGAAAAGAAAAAGAAGAAAAATGGGCTTGCAAAAAAAAAAAAAAAAAAAAAAAGAAGAAAAAAGTAAACAACACACACACACAGGGGAAGGAAAGATGAGTTTAAAAGGCATTTTCCATATGTAACACGCTCACTGACCTGTGTATCTTGCTTGGTGACATGCAGATACCGTTGTTGAGCACAATAAATGCTCCAATTACTGTACTTCGATTCTCGAATTTTTTTGCACACGTGACTACTGGTACAACGACCACAATCATTGAAAAAGGAATGGTTTTTTTTTTTTTTTAGATTCAAGCAAAAAATTTGCACTTGATAAGAGAAGTATCATTTATTATTTAATTTTTTATCAGAGGCTTACTCCCTGTTTTTAATATATAATTTATCAGGTCTTATATATAATATTTCAAATTTTTTGACCCCCAGAAAATCATCTAATAATTGTCAGCTCCCTAATGAGCCAGAACCCAGAACAATATAAAAAGCATTTGGATATATATTATTCTAGTTATTAATTTATGTATCTAAAAAAATGCATACCAGGTTGGGATTATGCTTAATAAAACTATTTTTGAATTGATAAATTGGTTTCATCAAATGATGATACAGACAAAATATTGACAATTGACAAAACCAGTGATGATTGATAAAACTATTAATGATTGATAAAATTACTATTTATTATAAAAAATAAAAAATTAACTATAAAAGAGATAATATATAGCTTTATTTATTATCTTTTAAAACTTTTATAACATATTTCTTAAGTGCTAAATTAATATATATTTTTTTTGTATTAGTAATTTTTTCATAAAACCCATTGGATATATTCTGGTGATTGACATGTTGATTGACACCTTGATTAGATAATGTCAGATGCATTTATAAAAAAAAGAAAAATACTAATAAAAGTAGAAATAGGTAGATATAATAATGCAAATAAAAATATTAACCTTGTATAGATCAATTTGTTTCTATTATAAAAAAAATAATAATTTCTTATACTTTATTAATATCATGGGCTTCATTATAGGTTTTATTATTTGTCAATCATTATTTAGAAAATTGCTTGATGAATAGTTTTGTTATTTGTCAGTGACGAAAGTATCATTATTTGTCAAGTATTTTAGTTGGGATCAGGTGTTTGTTTAGAAAGCTATAAAATTATTTATTGTTATTAGTTTATTATTATTTAATTATAACAATCAATAATGTTTTTTGGTTTTTTCTTAAAAATAAATTGATGCAAAATTTGTTTATATTGTAAGCTTTATTTTATTAATTACATGCAGAAAACTATCAAATTAGAACTTTGCTAAACAAAATAATAGAATATATCAAAGCTATCTATATTGCTTTACCAAATACTTTTGTCACTTATGAGTTACAAGTTGAAGCTATAATAGCCAATTGTGAAAATAAGCAATATTTAATAGTCTAAAAGTGATATTAAAATTAGAGCAACAAAGATCTAATAAGTATATTATATCTTTGAAAAGTTTTCAACCTATTATTATTATTGTTAACAATAATAACCAACTTCTTTTTAATGTTGAATATTTTAAGAAGGATGAAAGACAAGTTAGCATCTTATCTACTTATCAAATTTTATACAGTCAATGAATATTCAGAAAGAAAATACTGATTAATTTGAAATGAAAGGCATAAAGAATAATTAATTGCAAAAAGAGTATATAAATTATTGAAGAACATCACAAAAAACAGACTAAATAGTCTAAAAAAATAACTATTATAATATTAAAATTTAAGTTTATTTGTATTATTCTATGCATTATATATGTGTTGTAAATTATTGCTTTATATTATTGCTATACATAATTGAAAATAAAGTCTTAATAAAAAAAAAAATTCAAAGACTATTATCCAAACTATTATCTAAACCCAACCTGGTATACATTTTCTGAATACTTAATTTATTGCTAATAATATATTATAATTTTTGTAGATTTGAATAATTATAACAAAAAATCTACTTTCAGATTCTGTATTCCAAAATTATCAAACCAACAACTATCTTTAAAGTCTATTTCAAATGAAGCAGCACTATATTTTATGCCAACTTTCATAAAATCAAGCAATTTTATAAATTTTTATCTGAACAAAATAATAAAAATTATATTTTTATTTTAATTTTATTTTTAATATAATTTGTAATATGTAGTTATTATCTGGGCATATTAGTTTTAAAAAAATAAATTTTATTTGAAATTGAGAATTTTAAAAAATTACAATTTGTATATATCATATGAATTTAATAAATATTTGCAGCAATAATATAGATTTTTTTGTTCTGTATACATAGCACCTGTAGTATAATTTATATATTTTTAAATTAAAATAATTATTTTTTATAAAAATATTTACTTATAATTTAAATAATATATCATTTTATTTCATAATACAAAAGTGATTGAATGAAAAACAATTAATCTCTCAAGATTATATATCAACTTCAATCAATAATGATTATAAATTATTTATATATTAATCAAAAAAATTCAAAGAAAAATTAGTAAAACTCTGAAATTATACTATAATAAAATGAATAGAGCTCAAATTACATTAGGCAAAATATTAAATTTAACTTTTTGTTTTCCAACAATAACCAATTAATATTATAAAAAAAAAGTAGTTTGAATAAAAGCAAACCTATTAGAGTCTTATAAGAGAAAAAAATTTAATCTAATTTAAGCTATTCAAATTTGGCTAGCATTTTGTTTACTAATTTATTATTAGTACAATGTATAATATTTGACTCATTTGCATTTTTAATTGCATTGACAAGAATTTCCTTTCAATCTAATAAAATTGCTTGATATTGGCATGAAATCATTTAACTTTAGGATACATTAGACTTTGTTTTTTTGTTTACTTTTACAATAAATTTATATTTTTCTTCATAGTTAGTAATACTTGCTCAATAAGAAATACTTGACTCTTTGGTGCAAAAGTTGTTATGCTTTTTTTATTGTAATAACATGAGAAGCCAGTCTATACTTTTAGATTTAGAATTTATTTTTAGAATTTAATTTTGTCTACATGATGTTTTTATATAGATTTGTTATAATAATTTATTTATTTTATTGGCTAATATAAATCAATTGTTTAGATAATTTATTTATATAATTTAACTAGATATATAAGTTATTTAAAAAGAGTTAGAACAGAGTATACTATATCATATTGTAGGAAAATTCTCAAATTTTTACAATTTAATATTATAATTTATAGCAGACAAGTAAAGATTTATATTAATGATGAATATTTTGTTATTTTGTTATTTTGTAGTATTTACATATTATTTGCTAATTTGTAGTGTTATTTATATTATTTAACTATTCAATATTGTTTCTTATTACAATGCTTTCTATATTATGCTATTTATTTATCATTATATCTACTACTAGCATGATATAGTGACTTATGTGATTGAGTTGTATCAGAATTATTGTGATTTCTAATAAGTATATAGATATGTTTGAGTTAGTTTACATTAGAATTGATATGATTTTATTATGAGCTATTAAAAAAATTTAGCTACAGAGCTTACTTGCTATTCCAGTAATCACAATATGTATTAAAGTTAGTTTGTTTGTATCAGAATAATAATAATCTTGTTATTTTAGTGAATACAGTATGTAGTTATAATTAAGTTACTTTATATTGGAATTATTATGAGTTTTATTATAAATTATGATAAAAAATCTTATTACAAAACTTGCTATTCCAGTAAGTATAATATATAGTTACTGGCCTGATTTTAATAATTTAACTATCATTTGGTTTGTTTTGTAATTGGCATAATTTTTATTAGTTACAGTAAATAATTTTGTTGTAAACCCTATTTGTCATTCTGAGAATTATAGTTTACAATTAGATTAATATTTATTTGTAAGTTACTAAAAAAATTTTATAATAAATAATTCTTTTATAAAATTTATTTGCTATTTTGGTGACAACAATATATGAATAGTTTGTATTAGAATTGTTATATATTCTATTTTGAGCTATATACTATAAATAATTTTATTTTAATGGCTATCCATTTGCTGTACTAAATTTAGTACAAAATACTGAATTTAGTATAGTTATAAAATTTAAATTTTGAAAATTTTTTTTTATTAACTTTAAATTAAATTTGTATAATATATAAATAAATATTTATATTTTATTTTAGTATATTTAAAAGTTGGCTAATTTAACAAAAGTTATATTAGCAAGTATAATATATTATTTAATGCTTTACTATGATCAGTTTATAAAATAAATCAATTATTTTATGGTATTTTTAAATGACAAAATAATTGAACTATTTTATAAATCTGAGATAGTAAATCATAAAATAAAACCGTTATTGCATACTTCGTATGCAATAACTATATAACATTTTAACAAAACAAATTACTCTGTTTTCAGTTTCTTGCCGTAAATAATATTTATTCCTTTAAAATATTTTATTTATAATATTTATTCCATTAAATAGTTTATTTATTATATTTATTTAGTTATACAAAAATGATCTGTAACTGATATTATAAAATGAAAAACTTTTTAAGTTACGAAAAAATCAGGTACAGAATAATTAAGTTCGGAATAATTAAATTCAATATTAATCCTTATCATCAATAACGGCCCATCCAATCACAGGAGACACGACAGATTCGCCACCAAAATTTTCAAGAATTTCCTGACTAGTTCCAATAAATCCTGCTACGAATTTCAACGGAGGAGTAGCATTAGTAGTAAATGGAACTCCTACTATGCCATCTGGAAAATCATACTTATCTATAAAATTTGAATGCAAAGCATTTCCTGCACGATCATAAGGGAAGAAGCCTGCAATCCATCCTGTAATATTAGTTTCTCCTCCAGAACCATATATTTGCATGCTAATAACCCTACCCCAAAAGTCTTCATCAACCTCACCACGATAAGTATCAACTAATTTCGAAATTACAGGTTCAAGTCGATCTAGCCAAAAATCTAATTCTAAATTTAAGTTTCTTAATTTAATGACTTTTTCTTGAAGTTTTGTCCAATCTTCGAGTGTACCTTCAAGTGTAACTTTTGGAATTCCACAGCCAAAAACCATTCTATAATTAAAGTAAGCTTTAACCATATCTAACAACACGATACGACTTGCAGTTAAGGAGCTTGGAGTTGTGGTTGAGAAATCACATTCCAATAATTGAGAAAGGTCAATTTTTTCCACACGTTTATTAGTTACTGTAACAAGTCTATTTATGGCTTCTGGCCAGTTACCTTCAAGAATATTCTCATGATTTACACCCAAAATATCATCAACATTGACGACAATATCTTCTTTTCCTTCATGTTGAACAAATCTATTACGAAACTTCTCAGCATTATAATTAATGTGACGACTAACACCTTGAGAAATTGTAAGCCAAATATCATCAGGGCTCAAACGTAAATGTTGATGGTGATTATAGGCATGAAATATTGCAGCAGCGAACCCATTAAAACAGTAAGGGCGTTCAAGAACTGATTGTTTAGAACTTGCAGAATTATCATAGTAAACGGAAACTGCATGTACTTTTTGTTTGGGGAAGATATTAGAAATTCTGTCTTTGACCGAAATATGAGGCTTTATCTCATTTTCAAGTTTTATTTTTTGAGTTAAAATTTGTGTGCTATGTGTATTAGTTGCAGCCTGCATCGTTGATGAACTGAATGAAAAGTAATGATCTAAGAATTCATATTTATACTTAATTCACATGTTCATGTGAACTAAAACAAATTCCACTTTGAGTATGTATCAAGATTGGCGTAAAAACATTAAATGCCTTTTTTTTTTGTTCGGAGGACCTTTGCATAAGTGTATACGTCAAGTGATAAAAAAATTACATTTTGACGCATTAGAGCCAAATGAATTCGTGAATTTGTTCTTTAGTGTAACAAAAAATAAAAAATAAATGCAATCTACTCGTTGTCTAATTTGATAATCATGTGTCAATACTTGCCCAATTCAGTCGTAATACGTATAGTTAGACGGAATTCTAGAAGAGCATGACTCATCTATTTGTTATTTATCGCTGCTTGCAAAATGGGTTATCTTTTTCTTTGGGCAAATTTTGTAAATCGCAAGGTGTAACGTAAAATTTAGGAGAAAGTTCAAAGTTTTCAAAATCGGAAATAACTCAAAATTTCGGTTATGAAGCCAATATTCAAGTCCTAATTAGAGGTTGGAACCGGGTTTAAATATTCGAGTTTATCACATAAAAATTCGAGTTTATCACACCAAAATTCGAGTTTATCACATCAATAATTAATAATTCATGTGATAAACTCGAATTTTGGTGTGATAAGCTCGAATATTTAAACCCGGTTCCAACCTCTAGTCCTAATTTAAAAGATCCCTTGCAAAGTTTTAGATTTATCCACGCTTTCTTTAACTTTGAATCTGATTATAAAACGAAGCAATCTTACCTTAAATTTTGCGCACATTATATCTTGTACTTTTTCACTTCTGCGTAGAATTTTTGGTGGCGCTCTTGGTGTATCTTTCATTTAACTAAACAAATTTCTCCGTGTAGTTTTTTTTTTTAAATAATATTTTTGGATTTAATTTAGCAGATGAATATAAATAAATATCTTTTTTAATCATAATACGTACTGTAGCTAATGTAGCTATTTAAATTCATAAAATATACAATAATTATCATTATACTGTAAATATCTTTTAATATTATTTATTTGCATTTTATAATTGCTAGCATAAATAATATTAATTAGTGCATCTGGTAATATGATAAAATTTAAAGCTATAAATAAAAGTTTACAGTAGAAAATATAAATAATGTAACATAGTAATATGATAGATTAGTTTTTCTTCCGTTAAGCTCTAACGATAATTAATGTATATCTTATGCTATGAAAATCGTAATTGAAATATCTCATAGAATTCACTCTGTAAAGTCTGATGACTATAGCTGGAATTATTTGCGAATACTGTTTGCCACTAATTACAGTTAGGGTAGTAATTTACAGAAATTTAAAATTTTTTAATGTAAGGTACGTAACTTACATGAAGTATTAAGTAATATATAATATAATATAAATAGGATATTTGCTAGGAAAATGACTCATTAAAACTACATAGATTTTATAAATAAAAGTTAAAATTGAAATTTTTACTAATTTAAATAAGAATTTTTTTATTTTGTAGAACTTAGTGGCTTTATAATCGCATAGCCCTGAATGATCATATTTTTTAGTACATCAAATTTACTATATTTACATAGTATATAATAATCTGATCGGTTCATTGATTATTATATATAATAACTTACCATGCATAACAAAGTTAGAATGTAACGTATATGTAAGGTAAGTATGTAAAAGTATTAACTCCATAATTACCATTCTTGCCAGTATATTTTAAATAAATGAGGAATATAACTATTAAATTTATTACTTTTAATATAATATATTAAGTGTTGACATGTTACTGTATCTATGGATTTTCCATGTTTATGTTCATGAATGCCCATAAATGTTTATACGCTTTGTATTTAGTATAAATTTTAAAGTTATAAATTATTTTGAGACTAAATTAAGTAGTTGTGATTAATTTTAAATAATCAAATCAATTAAAAATGATTCAGCTTTATTTAGCACCACATTTAAATAAAATGCTTACACAACTCAATATTATAGACAGTACGAAGAAAACTTTTCAATTTATTAATTTCATCCTCTAATTGCATGTTACTCCTTTTCAATTTATTAATTTCATCCTCAAATTGCATGTTACTTTATTGCTGTCTTCTATTCTCTAATTGCGTGTTGATCTCTGGCTTTATTTTATCCTCTAATTATATATTATTTTCTAGCTTTATATTATATATTATTCTCTTGCTGTATGTTATTCTCTAATTGCATGTAATTTTGTCAAAGTACATTTTTATGAGAATCGTCTATTGAATTTTGTAAAAAAAAAAAATATTTGTAAAAATCCCCATGGTCTCGTAGTTCTAAGGCCTGAAATAATTATATAAGGACAAAATACTATAGCATGTATAGTGTAACGATTAATTTTTCCCATGTCTCATCACTTCCGTATTTGTTTAATTCTTTAAGTCGTCACTCACCTTCCATAATTGTACCATCATAGTCATGTTAATCTTACCCTAGTAATATTAGGCATTATTATGTATTCTTGGTAGTTTATTTCATGCCAGAGCGTTTACTCTCATACGCGCTTGCATAAACTTGTGATCATTGCCTTGGGCAAATATGGAATCTAAAGTGTAAGCGTTGAGATCCTGATGTTGACCATCTGTAAAATTAGAATGTATATAAGAGTGTATCTTCATCCTTAGTTGAGGATAACATTCGCTCTCCCAAAATTCCTCAATAAATAAAGCTCATATATATTCACACTCTTTTTTATCATAAGTGCCTAATAAATCATGAATATACGAATATCTAATTAACTGCCCAAATCAAGTGACCCTTTTAACGTCAACCATCGGAGTTAAACTCGGCATGACAATAGCAAGCTCTCGCTTACGATTGTTACAATAGTAAAAAGTATCATATAATTATTACCAAATAGAAATACGTACATCTAGTGTTAGAAATGTACCAGCAATAGCCAACACGTTTGAAATAACAGATAGGGCCTAATAAAGCCATTAAAATTAAGTCTTAAATACTAATAACAATTAAAATAAGGTTTTTTTTTTATAAAATAAAAATATTTACACTTTATTTCCTTGTTCTGTCTTTGTCTCAACTACAAAATTATTGGGGGCAATCATAAATCCTGACGTGGTATTCATGTAATAAGTACATATAATTTCTAGTTGTTGGATCTAGATAAGTTATTATTTGCTAAATATATAGTAATGCGCATATGCTTGTGTATCGTGTTTCGACGGAAGTCCAAAATTATCTCAAAAGGAGGGTACAATTAGATTTGTTACTCTTCTTATCATTCTAATATAGCAAGTCTAAAACATAAAAGTTATTGTAAAAAGTAATTATAAAATATTTAGCTCCATAATTAATACATGAAATTAATATCTACAATATTGTGCCCAAGAAATATCTATTTGTCTGGAAGCTCGATATAATGTAAGGGTTGACTGCTGAAACTATATATTTTTCACCGCCATTGTTTTATTTACCGAATCAAAGATGTTAATGGTAAAAGCTAGAAGATCACCTTCTACAATATTATCATTGAGTATATTGAATTTAAAAATTGATATGACGTTTGGTTACTAGGAAAGATACGATCTTTTGGATCAAACTTTCCCGTATAATGATCATTGTCAATAGTTAGTTGAGCAGCATAAGATATTTTGGGCAGTTGTTGAAGGGATGATATTGATCTAAAATAAATAAATATAAATGAATGTGGTGGAAATTTTTAAATAATGTATTAGTGCATTTTGTGCACTTTGTGCACTTTGTGCGTTTTAGGATTAAAGTTTAGTACTAATAAATGGAATAGATTATTTATATGATTATTTTCATGGTTATATTTCATATTATACAAATAGGTGATTACTGTATATTCAGAATACGTGATCTTTTAAAATTTGTATAAATGTTAGACGTCACTTTCAAATTTCCGTCAATTAACGTAGCTTCGAAATTGTAAATTAAAGTACTTCATATTTTATACGTATCGGTATGATTTTATCGATTAAAAAATAAAAAAAATTCACAACGCAAATCAAATTATTTTTATTAATTATTGTATTTAACTTCCATTACGATTGTTAAAATTAAACAACTGTTAAGCGCTATACAGTATGATTTTTGCATGTAACCTCGGCGAATACAACAACAACGAAAAGTAAAGAGCATTGTTCTTACGACAAGACAACTCCTACTTCACAATTTGGTTTATTACAATGACAGTCATCATTTTCTTTAAACCTTGTTCAGTTTCTTGGTTGGATGTTTCATTTGTAATATCTAGTGGTCGGATTAAGTTTTGTTAAGCACCAGCATTTCGTAAAGAAATAAATTTGCCCATTGAAATTACATCAAGTTCAGGAAATTCATCAATACCTAAGGGTTCTAATTCGTTTGCTGAAACCATGTATCCTACTTGTCTATCCATTTTTAGCCTATCAATATCATCTTTACGAGATCACCAGGTTTCAAATTTAACACACGTTTTTTAGTTTATATCGTTTTCCCATTAAAATTATAAATCATTTGACGGTTCTGAGTGACATGTCGATTTGCCACCACGATTATGTTTATCAGATTTAAAATTCAGTCCATCGATACTTCCAACTTTAATTAATTTAAAGGTATTAAGAACCCAATATTTAAAGTTTGAATTTTCATGTTTACTTGACGAGTTTCGTAAAATAGCCAGGCAACGATCATACTTTGAACGATTCATTATATGTCTTTCGTTTTTTCTACTGTTCATGTAATCATCAACGATTTTTTGAAAGCTTTGAAATGAAAGAAACGAAAAAAACTAGCAAAGAATTTGAAGTCATATTATGGAAGATAAAACAACAAAGAGTTTTTTTTTTTTTATAATCAATCTAGTTTATTAGACTCTTAGGTTAAACTTGACATACGTACTTACGTATGTTACATATTAATCAGTATCCCTTAATCCGTATGTAAATTCGGGGCAAATTTGCCCCGAATTTTGTAAAGTAATTTTTATTCTACTTA